ACTGCTGCATCAGGGAGTACGTACTCTGAGCACTGCACCTACTGGATAAAGAATGCTAACCCTTCTCCACTCTAAAGCATAAAATTGAGATCACAAACTGATTTCCCATCTTAATTTTAAGCAGTCTTTTCGCCACAAAGCCAGTGTATCACATTGTACTACTGGGCCCACACAACAGCTGTTCTTAACAGATTCTAAATTATTTTTCAGCCTTCAACACTGTAAATGAGACTGCCACCAAAGCTGATGCTTCTGCAGGATCAAGCAACAAGTATTACTCAGCTACAAGCCCTGACCAAGAGGAAAAACATGTCTTTTGAATGGTTTGGGGACTGTATTTGAATCATTTCAATAGATAAGCTATTCTGACAAACGCTCGTAGATCTAAGTGAAAACAGACTACGACTCTCACACAGAACAAGTATGGAATGCAACACCTCCAAACCGAGCAGGATTTCAGCCCATCTGTATCTGCAGCTGACGATGCCCACACATACAACTAACATTTTAGAGCATTTACAGCAACTACAACTAGACAAGAGCATTTACAGCTGTACTCATACAATGAGGTTTTAGTAGCTGAGACATACATACAGCACCTCATGGAAAAAGTGGGCAAGATTTTACCTCATTAGTTCCCATAGTTTTCAGTTTAATCCATCTCTATTTTGCTCCAGCAGTGTTAATACAGTACTATAAAACTACCAGAGCCCTTAAGCCAGTGCTTTGAACCACAAAGCCAAACATAACTATTCCTTGTGGTGGAACAAACAACTGCAAACACTTTTAAAATGCCGTGTAGATGAACTCAGAAGTTTTCACTCAAAAGTGAGGAATACAGCTAGCTGAATAATCTAATTTTCAAGTACAACTTCATTTAGAGGCAAGAGTTAGATGGTAGCAGCCACAGGTTAGATCTTGAAACTTCACATGAGACCCTAAAAAACTTATGTGAACTTGGCAGTAATTGAGAAGCAGGTCCAAGACATCCAGAGCACACTGCAAGCTTCTGCTTCTGTCCCCACACATCCCAGATACTTGCTGATACTGACGCTGTCTTTTTTGACCAACAGCTAAGGTGCTGTGCATAGGTATTAACTAGTTATTAACAAGGGGAGTGAGATCAATGGCATAATAGGTATGGGACCTTAAGTCACCTGATTAATATTTCACAAACAGAAGATAGGAGAGAAGCTCTACAAAGAAATCAGATTCACAGTAAAACTTGTCAGAAAGGTTGGAAGATATCTCCATATGCCACCTAGTCAAACCTCTAGCTCAGATCAGGTCTCATTTCAAAGGTGGTGCGAAGTGCTCCGTGCTTTATCCAATTTTGTTACAAAACTCCCAGAGATAGAGATTCCGTACAATACACAGATAACTAATGTAGCAGAAAGAAAAAAGGGCAGCTCTTTTTCAGAGGGAAGCTAAGTTCATTCCAACATATCGGATACTACAAGACATTATAGAGGGGCAAGATATTACAGATATCACAAGGTCTCTGAGGAGACCTTACAGCGGCCTTCCAGTACTTAAAGGGGGCAACAGGAAAGGTGGGGAGGGATTCTTTACTAGGGCGTATAGTGATAGGATGAGGGGTAACGATTTCAAACTGATAAGAGGACAGATTTAGATGAGATATTGAGAAGAAATTCCTCACTGTGAGGACTGTGAGACACTGGCAGAGGTTGCCCAGAGAAGCTGTGGCTGCCCCCTCCCTGGCAGTGTTCAAGGCCAGGCTGGACGGGGCTTAGAGCAACCTGGCCTAGTGGAAGGTGTCCCTAGGACGGGGGGGGTGGAACTAGATTAAGGTCCCTTCCAACCCAAACCATTCCATGACACAGTCAAAAGCTTTTACATGCACATCCATATTTGTCTCCAAGGGAAGTGTGGCAACCTGCCCCTAGGACAATCGTAATTTAAATTATCAGACATCACACTGTGCTGTCTGCTGCAGCCAACTAACTGGTAGCTCTGGTGCACAACTACTTTCAAAGGAAACATAACGTAAGAATTTCTTACCTCCAGGCCTGTACACAACATCATCCTCTGTGATAAAGGACGTTATTTCACCATTGTCTGTTCTCTCATATCGGGACTTCTTCTTGGGGGGTTTCTTTTTGCTCTTCTTTGTGGACTCCTCTGTGGTGGCACTGTTGTTGTCATTGTCCTCATCTTCACTATGGTCACTTTCCGCATAATTCTTGGCGCCTCCTTCCAACGTACAGCTCCGTCGAGGACGTGAGTTCTCACTCTCCCTCACCTTGTCTCTCTTGTCTCGCTCCTTATCCCGGTCTCTATCCCTGTCCTTCTCTTTGTCTTTGTCTTTTTCTTTGTCCGCTGTCATGATTCGCCACGTGCCTTCTTCTGTCCTCTCACGGCTGGGCCTCCGTGAAAGGTAGACAGTGAGCCTGGGCTTCAGTCTTCTGAATTTCTCACTCAAATCCAGGAAAAATTCAACCACTCCAACAACCCCAGCGTTTTAAAAAGGTTCTTGAAGAGGTAGGGGGGGGAGAAAGAGGGGAAAAGCCCATGTTAATATTCAAAATTTTTTCAATTTCTGAAAATAAAACCCACAGAAAACCCCACATCCTAAAGCAATTCAGTATGGAAAACACAAGACAGTAAAATGCAAGGCCGTCTTTTGAATCATTTGTAGAAAGAATAACTTACGAAGTGTCTGTAAAACTGTTGAAGCTATCTCCACCCTCAGAAAGATCTCACAGCTCCTTAAAAAAAATTTTTTGTTGTTCCCTACATAAATATAACAACTTCTTGGATGGGAAGTGCTCACTGAGAACACGTATCATTTTATACCTGAAGCTGAATAGGAACCATGCAAGTGAAAAAAACCCCACAACATTCAGGAAGAGACAAATGCAAGAAAGAAAGACTCTACAACTTCTTTCTTCGAAGCAAATGAAAGAGTTTAGCAAATGGCTGTGTTGTTTTACATCTCAACACCACTAGCAACGGATGCCCTACAAAGCTGGTACAGAATGCCATCTGCCACCTCCAGGGCAATCTGTTAGGAAGTCTTCCCCCTACCCTGCTTTTCCAAAAATAGAGCTAACCTGTAATCCCCAGATTACAGGAATTAATTAATTGAAACCAAACCACAGCAATTACAAGTGCACTAACAAAATCTGCTTTTCCATATATCAAAAATACGACCTTTCATGCTTGCTTTACCAGTAACAGAGCACATGGAGATGCATCTTATAGTTCATCACCTTCACACATTCAGTTTCCTGCCAGGGAACAGGAAGAGAAGAGATAACCCCATGCTTTTACTTCCCTGATCGTTTTATCAACACAGCTAACATCAACTGCATCTTGCTTTTTCATTCAGTGCAAGTTGAGATTTTAAAAAAATTCAACTTGCTGTTACAAAGCATTTGCAAGCTTGGATCTATGGGCAGGATCCTCCAACCACAACCGTGTGCCCAGAACGGTTGCATGCTGTTGTGGTTTAACCCCCACGGGCAGATAAGCACCACACAGCTGCTTACTAACTCCACTCCACGCCCTGCAACTGGGGTCTGGAGTAATTCCCCATGAGACACTACTACCGTACCGCAGTCAAAGGAAAGGTAAAGAATACTGGCCCTATACAGTTATAGCCTTTATTCTTTTGACTCAAAACCGAGAATTTCCTTAAAAATGTCCTTTCTATCGGTCAAATCAAAATGATCTGGACTGACAGGTTGCAGGGTACATCTTTGAGTGACAGCCAGCAGCGTACACATTAGAATTTTTGGTACTTTCTCTGCAAAGGCTGTAGTGAAGTCGCACCAACTGAAGTATACGCAAGTGCCTTTTCAAATTGCTCAATAGCAGCAGTCTGAACAGGTAGAGCTACTACTGAACAAGAATCATAACACACCGTTTTTTCTGTAAATAGTCGTGAGAGAAGGATATTTCACGACGGGTGCATCTTACAAAGCTAAGTTACCTTTTTTCCCTAGTTCACCAATTCAGGATAAAGCTGAATTTACCCACATTCAATTCATAAGTTTTCAGGAAGCTACTCTTTGGTGCAACTTGAAATTAGCCCACTGTGCAGAATGCTACAGCATGAAATTCAGGGACCTAAGAAGATTTAATGTTCATGTATTAAGCATCTGAGACCGCATTAGAGAAGCAAAAAGACTATTTTGCTTTTTAAGAAGTCAGCTGAGAAGTCAGTGCTCTTGTGTATTTGAAATTTCTTCACTCTTACATGAGTCTCAGACTACAATATTCTTGTCCCTGTTGACTACTACTTCCAGCAATGGAAACAGCCGAAGAGAGACAAATTGCCTTTGCTGATACAATTCAGGCTGTGGTTTGAGTCTCTCAGGCATTTCCTGAATGAACCGATCATCCAGGTAGGAAATTATTCTATTTTCTTTCCTCCTTATAGCAGCTGCCATCATTCTGATAACACACAAGGGGAAACCAACAAAACTCCAGTAGAGAAGACTACAATGAACCTGTCAATTGCCAGAGAAGCTGCAGATAACAGTGATAGCAAGGGTCTACAGGGACTCAATGAGAAACGTCTTAAATTTCTAGATGCTAGGAAATTCCCCAGCAGCAAGCTTAGGGGTTTTTTCTATTGTTGTTGATTCAAAACTTGCTTTAGAAAGTAAATAATCTACTCATTTTGAATGAAAACTAATTACTTTCCCAGGGCAAGCTAAAAAGTACAAATAGTAGCATCTCAACCTACGAACAAGAGATCTTTACATGTTCTTTAGTGACCAGAAACTAAAGGATATAGGATATCACCTAAAAATGTTACTCAGTGACCTCCAAGGATGGATAAAATTCAGCCACTTCTGATTATTCCTATATACTAGCTCCAGTTCTCAAAGAATCCATTTTTCCTTGAAGCCTCAAGATGAAAAGCTAAAAAGGTGCCAATCACCTCACATCTCTGAACATAAAGGAAAAACAAATTTAGAATTCCTGTCTGAAGAAAAAATAAAGTTGATTAGTAACTGACACAGAATTCATCCACATCAATTTTATCCGCGTTCCGAAACGTTCTGAGCTCCTCCTCCTATTCTGTAAGTCAAGGAAACAGAGTTGTGCAAATACTTCTGAAAAAGCAGCCACAGTTTCAGTGCAAGCGGCTCCTTGCCAAACTTCACCCTGAAAGTAAACGTCAAGTGACCCATTTTACACCAGTGGAGTCTGTTCAGGGGTCAACACCACATCAAATACACAGCAACCTCCATACGGACGGTGGGTCAATCACTTTACCAAAGGAACATACCAAAGGAACATACCAAATACACTCCCCTTACTCTATTTTTCTATCTTCGTCAACATTTCTTTTTATGGCATAGGCAAAAAAACCCCACCACTTTCCAGCAGAGAGAAAATCCCTCTGCACAACCTGCCACGATGCACAAGAGAAGCCTCCAAACGTCAAGGGTCACACTCCGCAGAGGAAGCACTCGCTAATTCCAGTTCTCACCACTAATGAACAAGAACAATCTCTGCAGGACTTGACAGAACTCTGCACATACAGCAGATTTAAGTCCTTGTTTCCCTCAGATTGGATTCAAAGTACTTCAGTATTTTTATTACTAGTCCAATTATTACAGGGTTTTTTCCTTTCTTTTTTTTACCCCACAACGAAGTTCTGCACAGGGAGTAGCACTGTGTTCATCATGATTTACTGTAGGGCTGTGCAAGAATTTGCGTATACCACAATCTGCTCAGTCTGTTCATCTATGAAATTTCCAGCTACAAATACAGCAAAATTGCCACCCTCCTCCTAGCTCCTCTTTCAGGAGAACCCATACAAAAGTAATTTTCATAGCCAATGTATTTATGAACAGTACAGGAAGCCTCTTCATCTAATCAGAGCCTCTAGTTCAACTATCATTAGAAGGCAAGCAATGAAATCTCATTGCAAGCACTATTCAATTTTCTTACACAAATATATCACATTTCCAAGACTATTCTACTATAAAAAAAAAATTCGATTTCAAAAATATTGCAAGATTAAACCCACATCATCATGAAACAGTATTTTCACCGTGACCAGGAGAAAGAACACATAAAACAGAGGAAAGACACTGTTACATGACCTCAACTGTGTAGGAGTAATACAGGACTACCAGAAGAGCAAAGAAAAATTGTTTTATCAGCAACCACCAAATTAAGATTAAGCCATTATTACCACAGAGAAGTATTTTATAAATAATCTTTATTATTTAAGCAATGACCCAAACATGTTTTAAATATTCCAAGGTATATTTTGCCTCCCCAGGGAAATACAACATTGCCCCTTGCTGTCTCCCCACTTTTTATTTACTGACACCAGAAACCAAAAGCAAATAACAATTTATAAATAGAAGCACACACCCCATGTTTGGAAGGATTTCTTCAACCGTAAGAGCAGAAAGAATCTTACAACTGAAATACTACATCATCTGAACTTCAGCATTTGCATTTCGTCTCTCACATTCTTATTTCACCACCAAGCACACTGGAACAGGAGAATACTACCAACTCCATATTCAAAAGCTATCATGTTGCCTAATCACTCTTGACCAAAATGTAAATACTGTGAAAACATATCTGCTGACTCAACATTATTCAGTTACAGATGCTGGAGTGGGTTAAGCACTTTTATCACTCTATATGTAATTACGCATGAATATGGAACCCATAAAACTAACACCCTCACAAAAATTACAAAAAAAATTGCAAGCCTTTTTTTGTTCCGTAAACTGGGATAATACATCATGTATATTGCCAAGTACAGTAATCACACAGATGTTTAAATCTGGATTAGGACAGTAGAAGCAAATACATTGAAAATCTTAAGTGGCTTTTGGCAAGCTCTGTAGCTTGGGTTTCCAGTAATTTTACTTATTGGCAGCTCTCACTACACCAAACCACCACCAAAGCAGCTGCTTCTGTCATCATACTACAGAAAAGAAATTCAGGTTACAGCACCACAGGTTGAAGAGTATTAACTACCTTTGATACTGGTTTACTGTTTCTTCCATAGGGGATTTTTTTGAGATTAATCTCAGAAAGAAGCAGTTTAAGCTAAAAAGGGAACATTCACTTCACAATGGCTGAGACCGGTACATAAAGGAGTGGAAGAATAGCCCCAGTCCATTATTCATTTAATACAAGCTGAAAAACCTGAGGAAAAATGTTAGCTTCACCGCAGTCACACTAAGATTTTTCTGTTGGTGTTATTTTTTAACCAGAGCCTCAGGATATGCCCATTTATCTAAGTGAGTTTATTATGTCCAGTATGGGATAACTTCATTTCACCCAGTATGCCATCAGACACTGAAGGTCCTGGTTATCTTAAACTGATTAGAGGTCAAA